GATGAAAAGAAAAGTAAAACACAAGTAAGACTTCAGAGATTGTTAAAAAACTAACAACATATCCAGTGCAATCCCACAAATGAATCTAGGGCAGTGGTGTATACGCTAATCTTGCTCTACCTTGTGAAGGTAGATATACTTAATAGATAGTTAAAAGAAGAAGAAGGAATTACATGAAACATAGGAGATATTGCAAAAGAGAAGTAAAGAAGTTAAAATCTGGTTAAGCAAAAGGTTTCTTTTCAAAAATCCACCCACAAGTAATCCAATACAAGAACCTTGTACCCGCCAAACTCCAACAGAGAATATCATGAGCCAAGAATCCTATGTATTTGTCAACATACCATTCTATTTTTTTTCTGATATACGTATAATGTGTTACAGTATAACATGGGTTCATATGTAATACGAGTATCTCCTATAATCGATCAGTAGGACTCGAACTATTAGATATAAACTATAGCATGTTACAAAATGTGTGGCAGACCGAACTATTTCGCACAGCTTACTCTTGCTCTCTGAACTTCTTGTAAATATCGCCTTTATAGAACTTTCTTGTTCTAAGTACCAAAATGTATGATATAATGCACCCTACAAAACTTGCTGCAGCAATTATCAGAAAAGAAGACCTGTAACACTCGATACCGATGCATGTTAAATGATCCCCTGGCTTCCTGAAAAGTCCCAAAGCTGCCATTTGCCTCAAAGCTTCCTTGTCATAAAAATGACCAACCAATCTAACATTGAATACATAAGCTCCAATTGGACTGGCTGCTCCGCCAAAGTTGAGCAGTGTAGCATAGTGTTTTAGGCCAAAAAGTTCTGATATGATGGAAAATATCAAAGGTGCCATAGCTCCAAAGCAAAACCCAAGAATAGCCAATGCAACATCAAGAACACTTGGAACACCCATTGCTATAAGAATATGACCAAAGCAAGATAAAAGGAGCACAAAGGTAAGCATCAACGGACGAGGTACTTTATACTTTGTCAAGAAAATCTCAGAGACAAAACCAGAGACTACTCTTCCAAGATAACCCCATATACTCACTAGTGAAGTAAATGTTGCAATACTCGTGTTAGGATATCCTAACGCCTTACCAATTTGACCTATGTTATCAATAGCAGTCAACGTACCACCCGCCCCAAAGATAGTAGTAATAAACAAAATCAACATGTCAATGCTCAAAAGTGCTTGCAAAATCGTATAATCTTCACCTCTCTCCGGTGGCTTAAACACATTCTTGAACCATAAAACTTCTTTCCCCTGACTTCTTGAAGGTAACTTCCCTTGCTCTAGTCCTTTCAACGGCGTAAAATCATCTAAAACTTGTTTCCTGTTCTTCCCAATTCTCAATTCTTCTCTGATTACAACAACAATAGGTGCAAACAACAAAAGCAACATGACACAAGCACTCAATCTATATTCAACTAAAGTGAAAGCTACCCTATTTTGCAAAATGGTGACCATTAACAGAAATCCAGCAAGACCAAGTGATATATAAAGAAGCTGATAAAAAATCTTCACCTCATTTTCTTGACGATTAACGCCTTTCAAAACCCTAACATACCTAAGCAAAGCACAACAAACAAATGGTGGAAGCCAAGCAATTAACAACACTAAAGATTTCCCATTGTTCCCATAAATAGCATGAAACAATTGTGTTATAATTGCACCACTTAAACCAACAAAACCCTTTAACAATCCAATCACAATTCCCCTACTTTCTGGGAAATTTTTGACACAAGTTACTAAAGCACCAGTATTAGTAAAAGTTTGAGAATTTGCACCAATCATTAAACATAAACACATTTGCCAAACCTGGGGTTTGACTAATTCATCACCGTTGACTGCTAACCATAAGTAAATGTACCCAGAAAAATTCATTAATGACCCAATTAGAAGAACAACCCATGGTGGGCAAACTTCATTGATTAAACCAGCAATGATTCCTACATTGGCACCCACATCCTTAAAGAAAGATAACAGATTTAAGGTTGTTTGATCATAACCCAATGAAGATTTGACATGTTGTGAGTAAAGACCAAATAAGTAAGTGCCACCAGAAACAGACAAGATCAAGATTGAAGCAAACGCAGTGAACCATCGCCCATTGAAGAAAGGGGTTGGGGTTTTACCCAAATTTTTCAAACTGAAATCTGCCTTCATCAGTTTTTACTTTGAAGACTCCGTCAGATCGGCTAAGTATTTTTTTTTCTTTCTGCGTTTCGATCTGTAAACACCGGCCGTTTTGGTCAATGGCTTTGAAGTTTCCATTTTCATTGAAAAGTTCAATTGTTTATAAATTGTTTTTTTTTTTTAGTAAAAGTCGGATGAGATAGTAAAAAACAGCTCATAAAATTATTTTATCTCAATAATTTTATTACAATGATGGGATAAGCTAATTTTGTATTAGTTAAAAAATTAATCTGAGAGATTACTATATTCATGCGTGGTATATTTACTTTTAATACTTATCTTTTTTTTCCCCATATTTTTTGGGATAAAAATTAATAGCTTGCTTTTTTCCAGAATTGGTCAAGGGAATGTATTATTCCCTCTTCATATGATGACAAGTAAATAAAAAATTATTTTCATCAACTAAATATAAAAAAGCTAACAAAATACTGAAAAAAACATTCTCCCCCTAATCAATATTAATTTTTTTGTCCATATATAAGTTAATAGAATTTACTTCTATTGATGGTGCAATTTCAAAGTTAGGGTGGGCAACTTTCACAAAATAAGTACTAGTGAGTGGAAATATTCTTTCCCTCATCGAGTGTGATAACGACCAAATGTATAATTTGAGCAAATTAACAAGACGAAAACCAGGCTTCGTAACTTTAATATATGATATGTGAGTTGAATTTGATACGATGTTATTCAAAATTAATTTTTTTTTAAAAAATCTATAAAAAGAAAAAATTATTTAAATACCATAATGAATATATTAAGTAGATCATATGTCAGACCATAATCGATATTTTTTATTATTTACATTTTGTGTTGACAAACATATAGTAAGCATTTGAAATAATAATTATTATATAATGAAATAAACATGGTAAAAGGAATTAACTCTCTTTTTTTTTGGTTCTTATCCTCGCTGTAATAGATAATATTTACAATTTTGATTAAGATAAAGATCATTCACCAAACAAAAAAGGATAAACTTTTTAATGGAAAGTAATCCAATTTTAACATATAATTGTCTTTTTTTTTTTGTCTGTGTCATGTAATTTATCTTATTTCTATAAAAATAAATAAATAAATTATGTAAAACTTTATTGTAGGCTAATAGCCTAATTACGTTACAAAATATAACGGCTATATTTCTTCGAATTTGAAATAAACGTCCGTTTTAAAGTCCATCATAGCTATTCACTAATTTAACGTCCACTTTGTTCACTTCACAATTCTCATTTTCTCTGCAAATTCACAAACAGAGTAACCGAAAGCGTCTCAACAATTCTTCAAGGTACCCTTCTTTTTTCCATCCTCCAATCTTTTATGGCTTTAATTTTCTCGCTCTGTTGATTCTTTTTATGGGTTCAAGTAGATTTTAAGGCTTGTTATCTGTCGAGTATTGCGATGAATTCTTTAGGAATTTCTAGTAATTTTGAATTGATTACATGATTTGATGTCTTTTTCGTTTTTCTCTATCTGAGTTCTTGAATGCCAACTATTCTCTTGGGAAATTTAGTTACGGCAATCACAAGATTGGGATTTTAAATAAAATGATTTCAAGAATAGAATTTGATGTGTGTCTCTGTTTTCTGTATATGGGTGTTTTTCAGAATTGTGGTAAAGATGAATGACCTGATGACGAAATCATTCTTAAGTTATGTGGAATTGAAGAAGCAGGCTATGATGGATGTTGAAGCAGGGCCTGATATTGAGATGGGTCAACTCGACCCGACTGATGAAAGAAACCTCTCAAAATTCTTTGAAGAAGTTGCTGTAATTAAGTCTGATATGGAAGAGATTAACAATCTTCTTGTCAATCTTCAAGACCTTAATCGAAAAACCAAATCAGCCCCGAGTGCCAAAATTCTTCAAGGACATAGAGATCAGATTAACTCTGACATTATTACTGTTCTTAGAAAGGCGAAAATGATCAAAACAAGACTTGAATTGCTAGATAAATCCAATCTTGACAATCGTGGCGTGTCAGGAAGTCCTGTTGATCGAACGAGGATTTCAGTGACTAATGGTTTGAGAATTAAACTGAGGGATATGATGAATGATTTTCAGTGTTTAAGGGAAAACATTGTAGCAGAACACAAAGAAGGCTTAAGAAAACAGTATAGTAATGCTAACGGGAAGGAACCGAGCGAGGAGGCGATTGAAAAGATGATGCAAGAAAGGGTTATTGAAAAGGGGGTGGTGGAGAACCAGGATAGACATGAAGCTGTGAAAGAGATACAGAAAAGCTTGGTTGAGCTGCACCAAGTGTTTCTTGACATGGCTGTTATGGTTGAGACACAAGGTGATCAAATGAACAATATTGAGCAAAATGTGGTTAATGCTGGTGGATATGTGAATGGTGGGATGAAGGAGTTAGATCGTGCTAATCGAATGAAGAGAACGAGGACTTGGGCTTGTTGGATTGGCGCGTTGGTGCTGGTTTTCTTGTTGATATGCCTTATTGCAATTCTATTTTGAATTCAGGGTCTTTGGGGCTCTCTATAAGCTTCTTTTTGGTCTGTTTCTTCTTTTCATTATGCTTCTGTTTCTTCTCCGATGGCGATGGACAGATATCTGTTTTCTCTTATAGACATAATACGGCTATCTGATGAATTTATGCTCATCAACTGCTTCTATGTAAAATACATTGAAAATGATATATCACTTTTGGAGATTGGAGTATAGTATATTGAATTTGATCAAGATTTTTCTTCTTACAATAGTAGCACCTGCCTGGATAACAAAATAGTTTTTTTTTCAGTTATGTCATTGGTTTCATTTGCTTATAATATTTCTAATACAATCTCAATAAACTACAAATTGAATAATTAATTAGTGGCGGTAAATTAAAATAACTTGGATTTCAATTTTCTCCAGCAGAAGTAACAATATTTGTTGAGCCTGATCTTTTGAAATGGGTCGGGGTGGGCCTTAACCAACTTCGCCCGCCAATCATATTCTTGGTCAGAAATGGCGCGGCGTCCTCGTTCGATAAGCTACGTGACCAAACCACCCTTTTTGATCTATTAGCACCCGGTCCATAACACTTGTATTCACCATAGTACGAAGTGCTGTCACAGATTTAAAATTATAAGCAAAGATGGATAATGTGGGCCTTTTTGCTAATTGAATTGAAATGATATTAACAATTTATGTACAAATGTTTACCTTTGCTTGGTAGAATCTCCCCAGTCATTCCATCCCTCTGGCTGTATGATATTAGCCATAAATGTGTAGGCAAAAACAACCCTAGAATATGAACCCCATGGTCTTCCTAGTGAAGTGTTCCCTCCTGTACCTGTTATCTTGCAACCTAAAAATGTAAATCCTGAATTTTCTAAAGGGGTCTCTCTGCCTTGAGCTGTGATTGCCCCTGCTGCAACTGAATGAATATGACACCTCTGCCAAATTTTGCAAATACGTTATTAGTACTACAAAAATATACTAATATACTTTCAACTTACTGACGGGCGTTTAAGTTATTATATGCATATTTATACATCATTCACTTTAACTAATATGTTAATAGTATTAACATGTGATAATGTAATTTTTTTTCATATATTGTTGAATTGTGAGAACTTACTTCATAGAGAGAAGCTGCGCTACCGAAAATAAAATCAACGGCCCCTTCAATGTAACAATTGTTGTAATAATGCCTACCACTATCGTCTAACAAAGTGTCTTGATACGATTGAATTCTACAACTATAGAATGCACCTCTATCTCCTTTAACCTTAAGTGCCACGGCTTTGCCACTCGTTCCGAATAAATTCTACATAATAAACAACGTTATAATCAGATAAATAAATTGAAACGAAGCTACATAGCATTAATTGTTTACCTGTATTGTTAAATATCTTGCAACAAAATCGGAGGCTAATACAGTGACTGTAGGAGATTCAGTAATATCTCCACCTTCACTAGATGTAATTATTGTGTTAGAAGCCTCTGTTCCACTCAACGTGATGAATGGCTTATCAGCAGGTACCACAATCTTCTCTCTGATAAATCCATGCAAAATAGATTAAAAAAATAATAATTGTTCACTTAATAATAATTAGTCTGAATTGCACATAAAAATGGAACTAATAACTTGAAAAATATCAAGGACAGATTACCCATTGTAACAATTTTAAGTTTATGCATTTTGAATTTTAGAAAAAAACAACTTAAATTAATGTAACATCCTCTGTCTCGATACTATATATATATATAACATAACATGAAAATTAAATTTTTTATCGTCATAGTTAAATGTAATTATAGAGAAGTTCGACTATTGGATTCTGAATAACATCTAATTAAAACTCTAGCATCTGCTCGTTTAAAAAAGAACAAGATAACCACGAACCTGTAAGTCCCTGGCTTAACCCAAATGAAGAATAATTCAGTATTATTCGATGGAACAGCATCAATAGCATCTTGAATTTTTTTGAAATCTCCCTGGCCTGATTGGTCCACTCTAATTAGAATGGCTGTGGAAAAATTTGTACTAGAGTTGTTTGCAGCCATGGCTAAATTAGTTGACGTATTACAACAAATGAGTAGAATTAATATAAGATGAAATTGAATTATGAATGAAGTAGCATCCATGTGCAATTAATATTAAACAGCGGTCTCGATGGGGGTGCAGAGAATAGTAAATTAATCAAGTAAAGTAAAGGTGATTAAAAAGCAGAAACATTGTTAAGCTTTATAAAGAAGGTTTCTTCCTTAATGAACGCCGGCAGCCGAGAATTAGTGTCAAAGTATTGGTGGCTTACTTTTTAATTTGCAGATTGATTAAGGTCTAAGTTGTTCACCATTCACATTAATCATGGAATCTGATTAATGTGAAATTAGGTCTTAGGCCTACCTCACATTCCAAAAGCTAGCTCAAAGGGAAGAAGATTGCCCAAACGTTATAAGGACTCCACTCATCTCATTAACCACCGATGTTGGACTTTTGTCATTCTTTAGCACCCCACCTCACGTCCAATGCTTTGCATCTGTGCGTGGGTAATTTTGATTTTGGGGATCCCAACATCGGGCGAGACGGGCTCTGAGCTCTGCTCTGATACCATGTGAAATTAGGTCTTAAGCTAAGTTGCAGCCAATTAACAAGATAAAATGGTTGCAAACAGGGGCGAAGCCAGTTTGCAGTCACGGGGCTCATCCGAATCCCCTTTTTCCTTTAGCTACACTTCGAGAGTTTGAACCTCGTTGGTGAAAATTCTATACCTCCTACTAGTTGCATATGTTGGGTCTAATTGAGTAGTCGATTAAGAAGAAGGATGATATTTCGAGATATTGCTAATTGGTGAAGTCCATTTTACTCAATTTGATCGTTGAAACATCCCTTAAGCTATATATATATATACATATATATATATATATAATTGTGATATTCAATAAAATTGGTTAACCAATCTCCTTTAAGGGCGGAGCATGCATAGTCTTCAATAATATTTTATGGGATAGGTTGGAACAGAGATACTATGGAACATTTTATTATTTTTAACAACCAAATCAGCAGACACGTTAACGTTTTACTTGTGTTGTGATTGCTTAATTATAAGGCCGATAACTATCACGTAGTTTGAAGCTTAAATTTGAAGTTAGCGTTTGTTAATAATAATTTGAGCCAATCGGTACCAAAAACAAACCTACACCATCAGAACGAGTTTAATTTAAAGAGTAATTCTGATTATATAAAAAAAATCAACAAATTTATGAATTACATAATAATAATAATAATTGATCGAACGGATCATTGACAACTCTAGATGGATCAATTCATTTTGTTCATCATTTTTTCTTTCATATATATTTTGGTACTAGACTATCACAAATTTCATTCTTGTGCATTCTTGTGATAACTTAATCGTAAATAATTTTTCTTGTATTTTTTAATTTTTTAATTTTGTAGATGTTTTCATGATTAAAAAATTCTTTTGAGAAATAAATAAATAAATATTCAAATCAAATCTATATTTGCTAACTTCTAAAATTATAGACGAATGCAGCTCTAAAAAATAAAATATGATTGTAAATAATGTATTTAATTGCCATGAATTATCCTTTAAATAAGTTTGGTATTTATTTTTCAAATAGATCAGTCTTTATTTATTTCTTTTTTTAAATTAAATTAGTACTAGCAAGACATAAATACCATTTTTTAAGATATGGACACAACATACATTATAAACTTAAAAAAGGACATAAATCACATACTTTTAATGAAAATTATTATTCTTTTCTTATAAGTTTATAATTATATAAATTTCTATACAATATATAAGCATCGATATGTTAATCGCTAAGTAAGATATATTACATTTTATACATAATACACTAATCTGACGTATATTTTATACATGATACATTAATCTGATGCATACATTAATTTGATGCGCAAGATATATTAATTTGATGCACTAATACATTAATATGATGCATGAAAATATTAAATTTTAAAAATTTATAAAACTAATAAGAAATAATGATAATATTAGAAAAAGATATTTGCATCAACTGACAGACCAACAGCGTAAATGAGGTACTTGAGATCGTTCGGGTCCAAACATATAATGGGCTTTTCAAATTTAAAAGCCCATCTTTTCAATATGAACACCCGCCGCCATCTTCTATAAATTTCGTCAGAAACCCTAATCTCTCAGTTTCATAGCTCTCTCTTTTAACTTTACATTTTCTCTTCCTTCTGTTTTTGTATTTTTCTTTCTTGTGATTAAGAAAGAGGTGCGATGATGAGGTTATTGAATAATCTCGTTAATCTGATAATAGCTGAGGAAAATCTCTCTATCCATTCGTACTCCTGAGCACCTTCTTTACTTTATTTTTAAATTTTATTTTAGTTTTAGTTTTCCAGCCATCTGGGAATTTTCTCTTTTTTGGATTTGATGTTCGATATCTATAATGAAATTGAATTAATTTAGATTTGTTCTGGCTAGCAAAAATATTTTTTAACCCCAGTACTCGAAATGAAGTTATTTCATATTGGCAAATTGTTTACATCTTTGACTTATTTTTTTCAGCAGGATCTCTTAATTTCAATTTGAGGTGTGATGATGAGGTTGTTGTATAATCTCGTTAATCTGATTATTGCTGAGGACAATATCTCTATCCATTCTTAATCCACTGAGCACCTTTTTTTTTTTGCGTCTTTGGGTAGAAACTTGAAAAATTCCTTTTGTTCATTGTTTTTTTTAACAACTCCTCTTTTAGTTTGAGGAGTTAAACTGACCTGATATGGTTTATGGTTTTTGAAAGTTTTGATACTATAATTTTGGTATCTAATTTTAAAAATATTATACTAATTTAATTTTACTATCATACTAATTTAATCTTGATATTTTCAGGAGTATTATGACTTCGATGCTTCTATCAATGTAGCCATTTCTGATGTATGATGCTAACCCTTTCTAAAAAATAATAATAAAAACTAGTACCATACCAGTTCTAGTTCTTTAAAAGCTTGAAAATCTCAACATGAATTTTGTGAATTTTCGTTGAAGCCGTGAATTTTAAATCGATAAATGACAAATAATTTCATTTTACCCTGACTTGGGTTGTCCAGTACTTTGTTTGAATGTTTAATGGAATCCTTTTTCGTATTCTTAATGAATTTTATATTTTGTATATCTCAAAATAAATAAATAGGGTAAATTAAAACATAAATTAGATATCATTATCTATATATCATCAAATTAATCTATAAAATAGTTCAAAACAATTAAAATTTCTTAAACTCATCATATAAAAAATTCATTTGAAAAAATATTTTAAAAAATACTCTTTAAAGTTGAACAATATAGTTAATTTGAAACAAAAAAATATTTTACCAATTCAATTATTTTGACAAGAGGAAAGTATTAAATATACAATTTCTCATCAATTTGATAATATGTACCTAAGTATAAACAGTTACTAAACGGGACCCAACAAATTAAAACAGATAAATGTATGAATCGACACCCATAACAATGAAATGCAAAACTGATACGGGCGAGTGTATTCTCATGTATATTCAATTTTATAGTTTTATTACTAATTAAATTTCTTTTAATGATTTTGCATATTAATTTTTATTAAAAACCTATAATATATAGAAATTATATTATGATTTTTATTTGCAATAAATATTAATAATTGATAATGAAGAAAAAAAGAATCATAATTACTATTTGAGAATTATCATTACAACAATAATAATAAAATATGATTATACAAGTATAAATAATCTAAAATCTTAACTTTCTAATAATAAAAGAATCATTATTTCTAAAAAAATATATATGTCCTACTATACAATTTTCTTCCCCTCCTACCAAAGCCCTAAAAGAAAATAATCGATAAACTTACAAGTATTATAGTATAAACATCACTCTTTCATGAATAAAAATAAAATTACTTTCAAATAATTAAATAAAATATGATAATTTTGAGATATATGACAAAACCATGAAGACCAATGATAAGTGAACAAGTAAAATTTCACTACATATTTTCAAGAGAAATGTTAGGTAATATATAATTACTTCATAGTGTTATCAAATAGTAAATATTGGATACTACATTTGTCGTTTATGTTACTCTCAATATTGTTATCTTTATAGATTAAAAATGTGTGTATAATTCATTTATTCAAGAATTATGAGGATCAACAATGTTCATTAAAGATTTTAACACATAATTTGTGTAAGATCTGTTAGGCGAGTCCCGAGCGTTGAACATTGAGCGTACGATCGAACACTTATGGCGTAAGTCCCAAACTTGAGTCTTGAAACATTTTGCTAGAATCCCGCCCCAAAGTGAGTTCCAAAACAAATTCCAGAGAAGTCGTTTAACACACTGATTATGATCAATTACTGATCCAAACCAACATGTCAAACTCCACACAAAATACAGACTCAACATATAAAACGTAACATTAGACTTTTATATTTTTCCTTACTAATTGAAAAACCCCCCAGACTTGAAGAACATTCATCACTATCACATCCATGACATCTTCAGAGGACTCGATCAACCCTGACAATACACTAGTATTCTGAATTCCCGTACTCATGTCATAGGAGCAGAAAGATTTCTTGTCCTGCTTCATGTAGAACAAAACAGAGTTGTCAGCAAAAGCGATAAATGTCATCAACTCCTCCTTCAAGAAATTCAGCTTCATGATCCGTGTTGTTTCATCCCATCTCAACTTTCTGTAATCCTTTAATACCAAAACACGGAGCTCATCTTTTACTTGTTCAACGAACGAGAGCTGGCCATTCCAATCCATGAGACTAGGGCGGGCGAAGAAACCTCCTCTAGGCAAAGTAGTATGACCAATGTAGGTCTCGTTAACCATATCCAAAACATCAATTTCCATATCATCATCATCAATATACCAAATGCAATAAGCGACTCCCTTTCTAAAGAAAACCTGAATTCTTCCGTTCCTCCTCTTGTTGTTTTCAGGACACAGCTTCACATCTCGCCAACAATAACTAGTTTTATCCCTCCCAATTCCAAGAGAGAGGATTTCATAACCATGTTGATGAACAGAAACCAACTTGACAGCTAGGCTATCGAAGACGAAATCCAAGGCGATGCATAAACTAGGATGTAGTGGATTGGGGATATCAATCCTTTGTCGTAATATAGAACATTCAATGCGGTATCTCTTAGTAGAAGAATCATGAATGCTAGTAAATTTCTTGAGATGTAAGCCTTGACTACTCGTAGTACTAATAAACTCTACTTCCTCTCTCTCCTCGTTTTCGAAATCCTTCAAAGTGCCAGTGAGATCATCCAAGTTTGAACAATATTCTGAATTTCGATAGTGAAGGAAGGCGAGATGAGGATGAAGAAAAAGGGTATTCCATAGCTTGGAAACAGATTTGAATTTGAACAATGATGAGAGGGGTAAGTAATTCAATATGTAAAATATTAATTCATCAGGAAGCTGCGGGAGATTCTCCTCCTCCTCATCAATATCATGATTAATTAATAGGAATATGATGAATACGAATGTAACCTAGATTGATATGAGACGAGGGTAGATGGATGCATCACGATTATGTATTTATAGAGAATAGAAATAGCACCTTCCTTTTTTGGTATCCCAAATCAATAGCAATAAGGAATCCTAACCTAATAAGGTTTTAGATCCAGGAATTATAATAAGGCTTTATTTAAGGAAAATTCGGACTTTTATTTATTATTAATTTTATGCTCGAAAAAAAAACAAGTTCTAGACCTAGCAAACACGCGAGAGCCTCCCTTGTATTTTAAAAAAAACATGACATTTTTATTTCTTTTATTTATTATTAATTTTTCGAGGCTTTTCCATCTTTAAAAAAAAAAACTAATTTCAAAAATTAATTATTACTAGTTAAGGATCATTTTCGACGTAGTGATATAACTCCCTAATAAGGATACAATACCATTATGTTGTCTTATACTTTAAAATATAACGGGCCATATCCATCTAGTAACCATAGAAATGGTAATCCTATTAGTTTAGAGTTAGTAGCTTTAGACGGGTTATATACTTGTTTATAATTAAGGAGATAATAATTCATAATATTAAAAAAAAGTACTGCATAGATTCTTTTTCTTTTTAAAAAAAAAATACTGCATAATTAGATAATTAGATATTTAGGCTAAAGTATAGGATAATGTAGATTTTGGTAGATATTTAGAAGATAAGGTCATCTAGATTTTTTTGTACATCTTTCTAAAATAATTTCTAGAAACATCCATATACTAGTATAAATAAAGGTAGTCATAGTCATTTGTAATCAATCCAAGCAACCCAAATCAAATAGTCTTCTTCTATATTAAAATTTCCTTATTCAAAATATTTCCTCTCCTTTTTAACTTTCTCTTCTTCAATTGAATCTTTCAATTTTAGTAACGATCTTAGGCTAGCAGAATGCTTTCCATCTTTTATTGTTTATCTAGTTGATTCTCCATCATGTCAGGTTCTGAAAATGTTCCTCCAACACAGGGAACTTATGTTGATGGTGATACGCACAGTACTCTCTATATACATCCTTCTGCTAGTCCTGGTATGGTACTGGTTCCAGTTTAATTCGATGGAACAGGATATAGATCCTGGGAAAGGGGAGTTACGCGAGCTTTGTCAGTGAAAAACAAGCTCGGATTCATCGATGGCAGCTGTGCTAAACCAGTTACAAATTTAAGTCAGTCGCGTCAATGGCAGAGATGTGATGATATGGTAACTTCCTGGATCTTAAATTCTCTCACCAAGGAAATTTCAGATAATGTAGAATAGTTAATGATTCAGTGGAGCTTTGGAAAGAACTTGAAGATAGGTATGATCAAACGAATGAAGCAAAGTTATATCAGATTCAAAAAGAAATTAATGATCTCACACAGAAGAGTTTGGATATCACAGTCTATTACACTAGAATGAAAAAGCCTATTCTCGACATCCAAATTAGTGGAGATAGAAGTAAGAACCACAATGCATTTTTGATTTCCAACTGAATCTATTCATCCAAACAAAAAATTACCAAATAAACCTCCAGTTTTATTTGTTCATGGATTTGTTGCCAATGGAATTGTTACATGCCTTTTTCAAGTACTCTCCTTAAGTTCACATTTCGCTGTCACTTACGGAATGTATTTGCACCATTACCGTCTTCAAATAAAATATTTTCTACGATAGCATCATGAATGGCGTATAGCAAAGCAGCCTCCAATACACCGGCAACTCCCATCATATGAAAGGGGTTCAAGGTCCAAATACTATTATTAAAAATGAGTGCAGGAAGTTGGGAGAAAATGCTACAGTTCACTACATAAATTTCTTTATAATCATTATCTCAAGAAATTTCTTTCATTCTTGTAAAGTGATTGATGTGTATGCGAACATGTGACAAATTTATTTAATATTGATTTAAATTATATGGGTTGACAATATAATGAATCAATGTAAATAATTCCTGTGGTGTTAATCAATAGTCCCTCTATTTTATATATTAAGTGAGTTAGTGAATTTTTTTTATTGTTTAAAATAATTAAATTGTTTAAAATTTAAAAACAGACTGTTGATTTTTTCTCTCCAGATTTTATAGAAATATATACATTTAATTGTATATTTTTTTGCTCATCAATAGTACATATACAAT